TCTACAATCTCAATTAGGAGTGTCAATGGTCCATTTGAGAGATAGGTGGCGGTAATGCACTTATAAGTCACTCTCACTATTCTCCTTAAATCCTGATTTATAATCGCGGCATCGTCTGATAAAATCAACATGCATCTACACTAAAGAGCGGCTATATGCGGTGGTTTTGGCTATATTACTTTTTTGTCTCATGCAGCACACTGCTTGCGTCTGAGTAACAAATTATGTGCATATTAACAGACGAACTGTGCTCATATTTATAAGCCCAAACAGTCAGTAAGCGACAGGTTCTTGGAAACGCTGGTTACTGACGAGTGAATGTGCTTCTTCTGCACAGAACAGACGCTGAGAGAGGCGACACTGCGCCGGAAACTCAGACCAGTACTGGAGAAATCTTACAACTGAACGACAGCTAAGGTGGTTTTACCAAAAAAGTCGCTAGCTTTGTTTGTACCTTTTATGGAAAAAAGTCCCTAAAAGGGTCTTAAAGTTGCTAAATATAGTGTTGAAGTCGTGCTCGTGTGTGTGAGATGATGGCAGGGGCGGAGGACGTTTGTGGCGCTCAATGTGCATATTGTAGAGCTTATATACGGGAAACACTGTGAGAAATATGTACATATTGTATGTAGCTTCTGAAGGGCAGCTTTAACTCTTAAATCTGTATGCATTCTGCGATCGGTTTATAAACTTTAAGTTTTGCAGTGCATTTGTGCAGAATTACATGTGTTTTTTCTGACCTGTGAGCGATTTCTCTTCAGGCTCATCCTCCCTGAGCTCATATCAACCCTTCAGGGCCATCTCAGCCCGCGGGCCCAGTTTTCTCTTCAGACAGCTCTTCTCTCGCTGGTCTTGTCCTCTCTCCAGCGTGCTCTGTAACCCCTCCTCGCGCTCCATCATCTTGCGGGCCAGGACGTAGTTATAGGTCTCGCTCTGGCGACTGCTCATGCTGACGCTGCCCTCCATTCCCATGATGCCCAGCTCTGCGGCCACAGACTCCTGACTGTGCTCCTGCAGATGTTGGAGCACTCGAGGCGCTTCTGTCTCCAGGGAAAGGCCTGGTCTCCAGAGTCAGAGCCGCTGTCGCTGCAGTCTGTGTTCTTGTAGCTGCGGTATCCTGAGACAGACGCGGAGCTCAAGCAAGGTCCTGTGCTCTGAAAACATGACACCTACAACATCAGTACCAAGAAGAGCAACGCTTGATTTTCTCCATGAAGAACTGACTGAATGTACGGTGCTCTGATAGCTGGTTACAAAATTAGAGGCCTTTAGAAGTTGAACTAAGCCGACAGTCGTTTGAGAGATAAAGCCAGTTTGATTACAAAGACAAACATTTTCC